TGCCAGCCCTGAGTAAGTAGGCTCAAAGGAACAGGGTTGGAAATGCCTAGCACTAGCATTCCAGAAGGACATTCAATAGTACTACTTCAGCTCACATGCTTAACTACTAAGGCATCAGAGAAGTATATAAACAACCTACTTCTAGGCTGTGCGCATGTTTCCTATCCACACTTCACTGTTTGACTGTAATGTAACGGGGGGAGAGAGGGCAGAGACCATGGCACCAGCTCCAGATACTGACCGTGGGGTGGAGGTTGGTTCAGCACAAAAATAGCAGCAGCTGTGCTACAGCCTCTGATGCTTCCCTGTGACTCTCCTGCCAGAGTGCTCATGGGCCCAGTTATGCCTATGCTGCTCAAGCCCCCAATTACTTTTTGTGTAAGGAGGAGTGAATTTGTCCTAAAAATAACCAGGGTTGACCTAAGACACAGCCAATGAATAAAGCCCCCACGCCTGGAGCAACCTAAATGGCTTCCACTAAAAAATAAAAATAAAAAATAAAAAAGTAGTTTTATACTACAAATAGTCATGAAGAAAAGCACAAAACTGCAATTAGTGTAATAACCACAGGGGCAGCTGCCGGAATCAGCAGACAGCATGAATCAGAAACAGTTTTGAGAGGTATAAACTGCATGTATCTCAATTAGTGCCAAGTGCATAAGGGTCCGTTCTAAGGGTCCTTACTACCCACAGTGTTGTAAAGGACTGTGGTATAGTGGGAGAAAAGTACATTGTTCCCAGCCTACCTGCCTGGACATAGGCAACTCATAGGGAAGCACAGGGGGGCACAGGCCCCCCTTCCCCCCTGAGACTGGCCACTGCCACCGCTGGCTTCTGCGGGCAGTTGCTGCTCACCACCGCCCCTGCCAGCACTGCTGCCAGCTTCTGCGGGTGGTGGCCAATCACAACCTTCTGCCTGCCCATGCCACTGCCAGCTTCTGCGGGCAATTGCTGCTCGCCACCCGGCCGCCAATGCTGCCACCCACAAATTGTGCCCCCCCAGTCTTGGGAGGCACCAGTAGTTCATGTGTCTGGATATGCCTGGTTATGTAGCTGATCCTTTTCTACTCTGTAGGCCTCTCCAGACTTGAAGAGGAGCTCTAATGCCATTCCTAAGGAAGAAGATGTATTATTACCCCTTCCACTCTAGGATGGGAAGGCTCCCCCTTACTATCCTATTCTAAGATGGCCAAAAAGCCATGGTTCAAAGAATAAAACTTTATGGGGAGTTACATGTCATAGTGCACCTACAGCCTTAACCTACTCTTGAAAGTAAGTGCTGTGAAATGGTCTAAACAGAATCTACGTGTACCTATATACATGCTGTGCCGTGTTTTAGTTAGAACATCCCAGCATACCTCACCATCACTTATATTCAGTGTTCTGCAACTCCAAATGGTGGCAGGGGTGCTTTAACTAAAATTCATTGAATGAGCTTTAATTAAAGTGCCTCCATGGCCATTTTGAAACGTAAGACTCTGAATACTTCAGCTTTTTAATTAAAGCAGTTCTAATTAAAACACTTCCCCGCACCCTAGAATACATGTATACACACCCTTCAATTCCATCTTGATATGCCAATTTTTTTGAAGTTTGGGGTCAACATACAGCCTACGGTGCCACTGGATACAGCGCTTGGAGCTGGAAGGCTTTGCCTGTGCTCGTGCAAGGGCCAGGCAGTTTCCAGCTGTACCTGCTCTACTAATGCTTCACCCTGCCCTCCCGGCTCCAGTCCAATGTGAGCCAGGTAGTTTCCATGGCATCAGCAGTGAGGAGCTTTGACTGCACCCACTCTGGGGCCAGGCAGCTAAGAGCTGCCCCTGCGCTGCCACTGCTTCCCCCAGCCTCCCACTTCCCAGCTGCAGCAGGAGTGCAACTTCCCAGCCAATGGAAGTTGAATCAAGGCCAAGCATCTGCAAACCACATTTGGGCTGCTGCTGCTCCCTGTCTTCCTGGGCTGTGGCATGAGCACAGCTTCCAGCGGATAAGAAGCTGCACTGGAGCTGAGCAGCTTCCAGCTGCACCCAAACAGCAGTTGGGAAATGGTGACTGGGAGAAGTGGCAGTGGCATGGGAGCAGATCCCAACTGCCTAGCCCCAGTCCAGATGCGGGGAAAGCACCCACTGAAGCCATCCAGCCCATGTTGGACTGGATCTAGGTTGTTCCAGGCCACAGCTTTTAAAAAGGTTGCCAGGCCCTGTTGTAATCATTTAAGAACATCTACTCTTTGCTGTTTTGTCCTTGATGATGAATCAAAGGTGTCCATCAAATTGTTTCTTATATTACTCACTGACAACTTCTCACTCCCACTTGTCACATGATGGATAGCATCATTAAATTATGCCATCTTGCATGCAGCTTCTGCCTCGGAAAAATACATTTAATATCTCACCTCTTTTTAATGTAGTCATTAAGGTCTGGTTTTCAGTTTCAATGACCATCAGCTCATTAAGGTAAGTAGACAGAAACCTTCCTGTTCACAGGCAAAAATAAAGATCAGTCGTCTTTCTTTGTTCACCAAGACTCATGGATTCCAACAAATTCCAAAAACTACTAAAGGACAACAGCACTATAC